TGATCCTTTTATAATCAGTGGGAGCAAGGTTATAGAGGGTGTAGGGTCTTATGTTGTCACTTGTGTTGGTACGAATTCTTACCATGGTCGTACAATCATGTCCCTTAGATCAGAACCAGAAGATACCCCACTTCAAATCAAGTTAAATGATCTTGCTGAAAAAATCGCAAAACTTGGTGGTGCTTCTGCGTTACTTATGCTCATGGTTTTATTAATGGAATATTTTGTTAAATTTCGTAATGGAGTTCCTGGCTCTGCTTGTGAAATTTTAGAAACTTTAATTAGAATCTTTATATCTACTGTGATTGTGGTAGTGGTTGCCATACCAGAAGGTTTACCATTAGCCGCAACTTTAGGTAAATAATTATTAATAATTACAAAATTTTATTTATTTTATTATAATTATTTTATTATTTAACAATTAATTAATAATAGCACTTGCTTATGCAACAACACACATGCTTAAGGATAATAATCTTGTTCGTGTTTTAGCTGCTTGTGAAACAATGGGCAATGCTACCATTATATGCTCAAATAAAACTGGAACATTAACTCAAAACAAAATGACTGTAGTTGCTGGAACAATTGGTTTATCAAAGTCTTTTGTAAGGAATGTTGAAGCTAATGCTGTCATACTTGGAAATGACCCTTCTCAAAACAATCTACCAATGATACTACAAAATCCCATTCCTTTAAAAAGTTTGGTAAAAGAATTACCCACTGAATCACTTAAATTATTAGAAGAATCAATAGCTATAAATTCGACAGCATTTGAAGGTGAAACGTTGGGGGATGGTAAAATAAATTTTGTTGGTTCGAAAATTGATGCTGCTTTATTGAGTTTTCTTTATGATTTAAATCTGGAAAACTATAAATCATTAAGAGAGTCTTCTAAAATTCAACAGATTTACCCATTTGGTTCTGAGCGTAAAGCAATGGGGGTATAGTAGTAAAATTAAATGATAATAAATTTAGATTCTTAATAAAAGGTGCCAGTGAAGTTTTGCTTAAAAACGCAACAAAAACAATTAAACTAACCAATAAATTAGCATTTGATAGTGATGCTTATGTGGTTGATTTAGTATATGGGGATAATGAAATGCTTCATAAAATAATAGTTATACTTCATGTGCATATTTAATACTATTAAAGATTTGTCATTAAATTTACATGTAGGAAAGGATATTATTATGTATTTTAAATACAACCTTATAACAAAAATCTTTTGATACCATTCAAAATGATGTGAATGTTGGTGGAATTTATGTAAAGGAATGTTACTGAAAAAAAACATGTGTAGCATTTATAACTATTGTCACCGATTAAATTTGGGAGAGCGTGTTTTAATTGGTG